GGAAGACCTCTGTCTCTACCTCTCTGTAACTCTTTCAAATAAATAAAATAAATCTTTAAAAAAAAATAAACAGAACGTATTTCAAGAAAACTTGTTTCTGGTAGCACTGGAGTCAACAGGCCACATGTGCTGAGCTGTGACTGAGCTGTCAAGGACATGCCACGTCTCCACGCGGCAAGCCCTAAACAAGAGGGGACCAGACCCGAGGAGGTTAAGTCTGTTCGCTTCCCGCAGTTTAGCTAGGCAGGTGTCACGGTGTCACAGCCTATCCGAGCTCTCCCTTCCTGCCGGCCGCGTCCTGGATGTCACAGGACAGCACCGCGAAGCCCGCGGCCTGGGCAGCTCACTGCACACGGGGGCAAGCTTCGTCTCTCCATTCACAGCTCCGTGACCCAGGACGCCGGGCCCTCAGGCCCCGGGGGCGCTCCCCAGAACAGGTCATACACGCAGCACACTCTTCAGTTCGGTCCAGATCTGTCCCTCCCCCAGGTCTGAATACAGAGCCGCAAGGTTCGGGTTCGCACGGCACCGGGATGGAAGCCAGTGAGCCCCCCCGCTCCCCGCAGCACCCTGGCCGGCCGACCTTGGCGGCTGTAGCCATTCCTAACTTTTTAAAGCGCAACCCTCTACAAGTCGCGAGTCCCGCAACACCTCTGGGACGACATCACGAGGGTTCCCAAGGCAGGGACGTCGCCCAAGACCGCAAAGCCGGCGACCAGGAGTCACGCCTCGGCGGCAGGCGTCCATCGGCCCGGCGTAGGCGCTGGGCACCTGCTACCACGCCGCCGCCCAGCCGCACACCTTGCGCTCGGGCCGCGCGGGAGCCGCCGCAGGAACCACCTGCTGTTTACCGGCGGCGCCCGGGACGCGGCGTTCAGCCCCCGCCCCCGCTTCCAAAGACAAATGTCGGCATTGTCTGCGCCGGGGGAGGAACGCGAAGCCTGCAACTGTGGGTTCTCTGCAGAGGTCACTGGAGGTTTGGCGGGGCCCGCACGCCGCCCGAGAGGGAGGGGCCTCCCGCATTTCTGCCGCTGAAGGCTGCGCAGCGCGCACAGCAGCTGCTGCGGGAGCGGCACGGAACACACCCACAGCTGCCGCGCCCCGCGCCGGCTGCGCGCTCGGAAAGGAAAGGCGTCCCGGGCCTCCGGACGCACGTGCCTCGCCCGCGGCCGCTGCGGACCCCACCGGGGGACCCCGGCGCCAGAGCCCCCAGCCCGCGCCTGCCGCAGGGCACACGGCGCCGGCGCCGGCCGCGACCCCGACCCCGAGCGGCGGGTAGCCGGGCCCAGAGACGCCCCTCGGAGCCCCGGGCCCCGGACAAAGCCCTGCGCGGGTGGGCAGTGCGCGTCCAGCGCCCGCACGGCCCGCCCCGCCCCGGGTCGCCCTTCAGGTCGCCCGCGCCGGCCCCACCCGCTGCCCCCGCGACCGGACCGCGCCCCCGGCCGCCTCAGGAGGGGACACCGAGCGCTCACACGCACTCTGGGCCCGGCGAGCCCGCACCCCAGTCCGGCCCCTCGGCCCGTGCCCTGCCCCCTTACGGCTTCGGCCCCCAGCGCCCCGGCGCCCCGGCCCCCGCTCCCGCGGCCCGGCCGCAGCCCCGCCCCGCACCCTCGGTCTCGGAGGGCCCGGGTTCTCTCGCGCCCGGGCCGGGGGCCCTCACTGAGGCCGGGCCGGGGCCGCAGCGCCGGCCTCTCCGCCATCTTCCTGGCCCGCGCCGCCCACCGCCCGCGCTCTCACCCGCCGGCTGTGCGCGGGCTGCGCCGCCACAGCCTTTCATTCCGGCCCGCGCACCGCGCCCCTCGCGTGAACTGCCGCGCGGTCCTCCGACCGCTGCCGCCGCCGCCGCCGCCAACAGCTCGCACTGCCCGTGTCCGCCGCCGCCGCCGCCGCCGCCGCCGGCCCAGTGCGCGGCGACCGCGCGTCCTCCCGTCACCAAGCGCAACCCCCCGCCTCCGGCTCCGCCCCCGCGCCGGCGCCGGCCCGCCGCCAGGTGGCGCGGCGCGCGGGGCTCAGTGCGCCGGCGCCGCGCACGGCATGCTGGGACCGGGAGTCCCGCTCGGAGCGCGCGCGGCACGCCGGGAACGCCCCGAGGTTTCGGCGCGCAGCGGTTAACGCTGGCCGCGTCCTGGGGGGTCGTGTGTGGTTTTGCCGACGTAAGTCACGGGCTGACTGAATCCGAGCCCGCACCTCCGCTCGGCGTCCCTGCCTTCCCGGCTTTGTGTCTGGGTCGCCGGTGTCCTCGGTGACCCCCAGCCGCCGCCCCGCGGCCCCCCAGAGCCGGCTCAGGCTCCCCTGAGGAAATCCGGCCCGGGTGGGCTCCCGGCTCTCCCCGCTGACCCGGGCCCAGTCCGGGCAGGCGTGATTCCCCCACCTTTAGAGATTTATTGATTTGGAAGGCAGAGTGACGGGGCCGAGGCAGGAGCGAGATCGATCTTGCATCCGCTGGGTCACTCCCCGGATGACCACAACGGCTGGGCCAGGCCGAAGCCAGGGGCCCAGAACTCAGCCGGCGACTTCCCAGATGAGACCGAAACTGACCGCCAGGGCCCCACTTCACGCACTTGCAAACGGATCGAGGACGTACAAAGCAGCAGGGTGGCGGGAGTAATGTGGAATAGGGCGCGTTGGGAAAGGGGTAGGGCCTCCATCGAGGAGGGGCCCAGGCTCGGCTGACCTGCTGCCTGGACACCCTGCCAAGCCGCGGGCCACCAGCCACACCATCGAGCAGGGACCCCTTTCCTTCCCTGACCGTGAGCCCCAAAGCCAGGGCCGCGAAGACCCAGCCACTAGGCCCGGGCACCAGCCTCGGGCCGGGCCAGGCTCGCCCAACCGACGTTCGTGGCCCTGGCTTCAGGGTCCTGGGCAGGACACTCCCGCCGCCGACCACTGGCGCCAGAGCAGCGCAGAGACGGAGGCCAAGCACCCCTAAAGGGGGTCCCGCTGCGCCGAGCCGCCCGCTCCCCAACCCAACCTCCGCTCGGGCCGCGCCCTCCCCTGGCCCCGCCCTCCCGCCGGGGCCCCGCCCCTCGGCCCCGCCCTGCCCCACCCCGAGCGGCCCCCGCCGGCGTAGAGTCACGCCCAGGCCCCACCCAAAGCAGCCCGGACGGCCCACAGCCACGCCCCTCTGCTCTGCCCCGCCCAATGTCGATTGGCCTCTGCCGGCATGTAGCCACGCCCATCTACCACGGCCACGTAGAGCCACGCCCTCGGCTCCTCCCACTCGATCTGCTTGGTCCAGCCGAGAGCCACGCCTCTGCCGGTCACCGCCTCAGGGCGCGGATGTCGCCTGAGCGGCTCCCGCCGCGCGCCTCGCCGCCCTGCAGGGCTCAGGGCCGCGTCCCCGCAGGCCTGGCTGTGGGCGTCGGGAACTCGCACGGTGCAGCCCTTCGTAGCCGTCGCAGGTGTGCGTTCAGGACGCGGTGCTGGCCGCCCATCGCGTGCTGTGCCCGCGCCGCCGTCCGCCGCTGCGGGGAGCGAGCCGAGCCTTTGCGGCTGCGGGACGTTGCGGGCGCGCCACGCCGAGCTCGGGACGTCGGCGGGGTTCCCCAGGCGCACGTCCTCGCCCTTGCGTGGCCTCGTTGGGCAGGGGTCTGAGTGTGCGAGCTGTTCGCGTGGGGATGCGGGGCTCCGGTGCGGGGCCCCGCGCGCCATCACTGTTCAGGTGTTCGCCGACGGCCGCCGTTCGCGCTCTCCCCAGCCCGCGGGGTTGAGCGTCTGAAACGTGCGTCCCGCCTTGCGCCCGTCCTCTTTTATTTTATTTTATTTTATTTTATTTTATTTTATTTTATTTTATTTATTTTTTTTTTTTTGACAGGCAGAGTGGACAGTGAGAGAGAGAGACAGAGAGAAAGGTCTTCCTTTGCCGTTGGTTCACCCTCCAATGGCCGGCGCGCTGTGGCCGGTGCACCACGCTGATCCGATGGCAGGAGCCAGGTGCTTTTCCTGGTCTCCCATGGGGTGCAGCCATCCTCCACTGCACTCCCTGGCCACAGCAGAGAGCTGGACTGGAAGAGGGGCAACCGGGACAGAATCCGGCGCCCCGACCGGGACTAGAACCCGGTGTGCCGGCGCCGCTAGGCGGAGGATTAGCCTAGTGAGCCGGGGCGCCGGCCTGCGCCCGTCCTCTGACGTCACTGCCCCCCCCCCCCGTGGTCATTCCCGCACTCCGTTGCTTTTCCACGGCAGTGCCCCGCGCAGCCATGCCCGGTGTCCCCGAGCGCTCTTCTTTTAAGATTGATTTATTTCATCGGCAGAGTTACAGAGGGGAGAGGAGAGAGAGCGTCCGTCCACTGGGCAGCTCCCCAGATGGCCATGACCCGGGAGCCCAGAGCTGCGCCTGCCGCCAGCGCGGGTGCGGGGCCGGACGCGGGGCCTTCAGCGAGAGCGGGACTGGAAGTGGAGTGGCCAGGACTCGACCCGAGCCAAGTGCTCCCCCAGAGCTCTTCTGCGCTCCGTGTCCACTCCATGTCCATTTGAGCCTGGACGATCGCGGAGAGACTGGGCTGGCTGTCGCTCCCCCTCTTCGTGGAGGAACGACACAGGACCCTGCGCTGTTCTTTCGTCTGCTCGGCCCTCCCCGGGTTTGCTGCTGGTTCTTCCCGGGTTGGCTACTATCCCTTCCACCTCCGTGGAAGGGCAGTTCCCCCTGGCCACTTTCCCCACTTCCGCAGGGGAGCGGCACACCGCCGGCCGGTTCTCTCGGGGGCTGCACGGGTTCCCTTAGATGTTCCCCATAGATGTTCCTGGTGCATGCCGTCTCTCTCCTCCTTTATAGTCCTCCTCCGCCAATCCCAACTCGGCTGAGTACGCTGCTCTCCAATCAGGAGCAAGTCCTACAGTTAATTGGTTGAACTGGAGGCAGCTGTGCGGAAGCTGTTTACTTCTCTCCCAGCGCCATATTGTGGGAGAGCAGATGCATAGAATAAGTCCTAATTCGAGTAACTTAGTCTAGTCCGGATTGCTCCCCACAGCTGGCGACCCCGCGTCACAGGTGAGAGCGTGTTGGAGGAGGCGGGTGGTGCGTGGCGACCCTGCGTCACAGGTGGGTGCGTGACGGAGGAGGCGGGCGGGGTGTGGTGACCCTGCGTCACAGGTGGGTGCGTGACCATGTAGGCGGGCGGTGCGTAGTGACCCCGCGTCACAAGTGGATGCGTGACGGAGGAGGCTGCGGGGCGTGGTGCCCTCGCCTGGCTGCCCGCAGAGGAGGTTTTGCTGTCCACGCGCTCCCCGGTTGTTGTCCGGGACCTGAGCGGCTGTTCCGTGGCCGTGGGGACGCGCGACAAGCGCGCGGGCTTGGAGAATGGGTTCCGCGCTGTCCCGGCTGGGAGGCCTCCCAGCCGGGAAGCACAGTCCTGCGCTTCCGCCCAGTGTTCGTTGCCCCGGCATGTTTACAACCCCCATTTTCTACCCTGGTGCAATACACAGGACCATGAATTTGCCATCGTAGCCACTTCCCGTGTCCGTTCCTAACGTGGCGCCTTCCCTCTCCAGCTGTCCTGCAGCGCCGAGCACGCGCCCTCCTTCCCGGGAGTGCCTAGCCCCGCTGTGCTGGGGTGGCCTAACCCCATCACCGGGGTGACCCCTCAGGGTCCTGAGCCAGCAGGTGCTGCCGGACTCCCCGGGCCTGCCTGCCGGTCCGCGGTACCATCAGGGCATCTCAGGGCAGATGGGGGCGATGCTACCCGACGGACCCTGGGGGTCTGGGGACCCCCGTGGCCGTGACGACAGGGTTCGGGTGCTACTGCGAGCTGCCCAACGCCTGCAGAAACACGGGACAGCCCCCCACTCACTGAACCCCGACGGGGAAGCTGAGAACCCGTGGTGAAGCCCACTCACATTTTGTGCTCAGTGTCCGTGTGCGGAGTCAGCCGCTGCGTGCACAGAAAGTGCTCCTGCCCAGAACAGTCACTTGGGCTGTCTCCACCGCTGCAGGAAGTCCCGGGGACAACGCCAGATGTCACCTGCGGTCCAGGGACCCGCAGATTGGAAGAAGTTGCAGGCATGCTTTGTGCAGCGAGCAGTCGGGTGCCTACTGCTTCTATCCGAGCTGTGCGCGGATGCCACGCGGTAGGGATCCTCATTGCCTGTTCTTTGATGGGGAGAGACAGGCAGGCTCATGGCCCAGAGGTGTCCTGTGGTCGGACCCACAGTTGGCTTCAGCAGCTGACCGTCCACTCGGACTTGCCGTTAGTCCCGTGCTCGGCAGCCCGGCCTCCCGTCTGCACCTTCAGAGCCCCAGGCCACACTCCTGAGTGGGACGGCAGTGCTACCTTTCTCCCCCACCAGAGGATTAAACTTCCTGCCTCCTTCGTCCTCAAACCTTGTCCTGGTCATTTGGATGTGGCACCGTTAACAAGGACGAACTTTCAGTAGCACCAGGTCACAGTCGGACCTTCGAAAGACTGCAAGGTCCAAGGAGGAGGGAAGAACGGGGGTGGAGGTACCCCCCCATCACCCCCACCCCAGCGAGCCAGCCGGGGACATGCAACCCCAAGGGCTGGTCTTGCCCACATCCTAGAGCCACCCTGTGGATCTAGCTGGAGTCCCGCCGAGCACTGCTGGCCAGGTGGTGAGTCTGGCTGACTGGCAGCCCCTGGCACAGGGCTTCCCCATAGACATAGGCTGCTGGGGTAGCCAAGAGAACATCGACAGCCCTGTGAAGTCCGCAGAGCAGCATGTAGGAAGGTGGGTCAGGGTCCTGGGAGGCATGGTCTAAGGGGAAAGGGTGAGGCTTGTGTGGGTGGGGTGGGGTCACTGGGTGTGGTCTAAGGTGAGGGGTGGGGCCCATGAGGGTGGGGCGTGGTCACTGGGTGTAAGGGGAGGGGTGGAGGCGTGGTCACTGGGCATGGCTGCAGGGCATTGTCTAGCTAGGGTGTGGGGTTTCCCAGGACAACGGCAGTGAGCCTGCAGGGAGGTGCCAGTTCCTCCTCACTGGACACATTCTCAGCCCTGCCTGCCTCCTGACACATCCAGGAGCTCAGTGGTTATGTCTGGGGATGGCCCCAGCACAAAGTGAACAGGAAGAGAGGCGAGCTCACTCTGATGCACTTGTCCCATCAGGGGGTGCCAGGGAGCCTCTGCCTCTCGCCTCACATCCAGTGCCGTGGGCCATGCCTGCCCTACATCACACTGTGCGGGGGGAGCAGGGCCCGGCTCTGGCTGGCAGACCGCCCCCCCCCCGTATCAGTGGCTCCATGTGCCATGGAGAGGTGAACCCAGCAGGCACCTGCAAGCTGAGGATGCGGCTGTCCCCGTGGGTCCCCTGACGGCAGGTTCCGGCCTCTTCCCACCGTCTCCCGCCTCCACTTTACTCTCTGCAGGAAGCCAGGGCAACCTTTTCTGTTTTCAACCACTTTTAATGAGAAATTTTTAAACCCACAGAAAAGCTAGACTCCTGCAGTGAATACCATGAACTCCATCACACCTGAGAAAACTAATAGCTCTCCAGCCTCAGTCCCGCGACCTGGGCCCTCACATCTCCCCTTTCCCCGTCTCACGTGGTCTCAGGATTCTGGAAACACTGCTGTAAGACATTTTAGGGGCAGCTGTCTGTTCTGCCCACAGGCTGACCAGTCCCTCTGCGGTGCCCAGGGAGGGGACCTCTGAGGCGGCAGTGGTGATCAGAACTGAAGGCTAGGGGCCGGCACTGTGGCGTAGCGGGTAAAGCCATGTGGGCGCCGGTGTGAGTCCCGGCTGCTCCGATGCTGATCTGGCTCTCTGCTGTGACCTGGGAAAGCAGCAGAAGATGGCCCAAGCCCTTGGGCCCCTGCACCCACATGGGAGACCTGGAGAAGCTCCTGGCTTCGCATCAGCACAGCTCCAGCTGTTGCAGCCATCGGGGGAGTGAACCTGTGGATGGAAGCTCTCTCTCTCTCTGCCTCTGCCTCTCTGTAACTCTGCCTTTCAAATAGATAAATATATCTTAAAAAAAAAAAAACCTGGAGGATGGACAGGTGTTGCCTGGAGAGGACACACAGGCAAACTCCAGTCAAAGCAGAGGACCCAATGCCCGGGCAGCAGCCTAGAGAGGGAGGGGCTGAGGGCAGGTGGCAGAGTGCTGTGAGCTGAAACTGGGAACAGGGCAGCAGGGGACTCGGAAGATGGCCAGGAGGCTGTACCAAAGCTGGCCCTGGGCTCCATGGGTGACTGGCAGGTCAGGGAGGCACTTGGGGGATAGGAAGCAGGTGCTGGGGGGTGGGACTGCAAGGGTGGTGGTGATGGGAGGTGGGGAGAGGGGCCAAGCCAGGACCAGCTTCCTGGCCAAGGGGCAAGGATGGACAGTCACCACCAGCCGGGTGCCCCTGGGAGGAGAAAGTGCAGACCAGGGCATCACTGCCCCAGGGGCTGCCCGGCTCCCGCAAACGCTAAAGCTGAATGCCTTTCCTCCCATCCTGATGCAGCTGCAGGTTCAGCACGGAGAGGGAAAACCAAGTCAGACCGCGGAGCGATTCCCAGGACGTGCAGTTGTTCCGTGGACCCCAGGGTGTGACTCAGCTGCCCGCTCCAGGCATGGACTTGAGGTGCCTTAGGGAGGCGAGTAAGCTGGCTCCTGGTGTGGTCCTGCTGGTGAGGAGCCAGGGCAGTGGACGGACCGCCAGGGGTGTGTGCTGGAGAGGAACGGTGGAGAGAGGTGGCACAGACGGGACAGGGCAGATGGTGCTGCCAGGTGTGGGGACATCACACCCTCGGAATGCAAGAAGGGAGTGCAGTGTCACCTTGAAACCTGAGCTCCGGCTTCCTTGAAGCCCAGGGGCGGGTGTACTTCACGCTGACTGGCCAAGGCTCCTCCCTACACAGCCGGGCTCCCAAGGGTGTGGGGCTGAGCCTGCAGGCACCCTCTCGAGCCCCAAGCTTGCTGACCTTCCGCGGTGGGAGTGGGTGCCCAGCAGGCCCCTAGCTCTGAGGACAGAGTCGTCTTCTCTGAGCCAAGTCTGCCATGCTGGCTGCCCCTCCACTGAGCAGAGCAGGGTGCAGGGCCCTGGGGGAGACCCACGGACTCGAAGGCTCGGTATTTCCACAGTCACGCTTTCTCTTGCCCACCCTCCCCAACATCTGCCTGGAAAGCCAGGTGTGCACACCGAGCCCCTTCCCGGAACCTCGGTCAATATGGGTCTACCCCTCGGGCAGCGGGTGCCCGGGATTCCAGAACACAGAGATCCTGAGTGCAGCTCATGTTGTAGCGATGGTGTTGGTGAGTTCCAGGAGCCTGCTGAGAGGGATGGCAGGCCTCACGCCTGCCATCAGCAATCAGGAGGCCCTGGACGCTCCAGGAGCAGAGCCCCAGGACCTGCCCCGCCGCCCCCGATGGACTCAGTGGTTCCTCCCACCCCCCGCAGCTGCCCCTCTTCTTCAAAGACCCCTTTTGCTGGCTCCTTGGAAGGAACAGCACACGTGTGACCCAGAGACCACTCTTCCCCCAAGACCGCGGTTTCTCTCACCAACGCTTGTCTCTGATGAGTTGGCTGCCCGGCGGCGAGCAGCAGGGGCCTGACGATCTTGTCCAGTAACAGGAGGAGGGCCAGCACTGGGCCCCGACAAGGAGCACTTCCCTGGGCATGATGCTGGAGAGACCCCACACCCTGCAGGCTAGGGGTGAGCGGCCAGTGTCCAGCTCTGAGCTACAGCAGGGGGAAATGCCGCGGGCCATGGCCCTGCCAACAGTGCTCTGGACGGCTGAGTGACGAGGCCATGGCCCGCGGCATGGGTGGCTGGGTGACCGCTGGCTGTCCCGTGCAGCTCCCTGCCTGCAGTGGCACTCTGTGTGCTGCCCAGGTGGACGGACAGCTGTTTTCCACCAGTGACCAGGCTCCCAGCTGGTGAACGGATGAGCGGAGAGTTCAAGGCACAAACAGAAGTTCACATCGCGCTGAGATCTGGAACTTGCCGCCAGCAAGGGCCCCCCTCCCGTGCTTTCACGCGTCCGTTCACGGGTGTGCCCGGGTGTCGCCTGTGCAGGCTTCTTCCAGGCGCCAGAGTCCAGAGCAAGCCACTCCCGGCCTTGTCTCCCTGGGGTTTCCTCTTTGAAGAGATCACCTGTAGCTGCTTCTCAAACCTGAAAGCCAGACTGGTGTCAGTCCCACCTGTGTGTGTGCGCGGTCCAGAGCCAGGAGCCCGTTGCAGATGGCTTGCAGTTAGTTCATACCTCCCCGAAGTAATTAGTATTTAAATAATACACACCTTACGGTCATTAAAGCAGAATTAAAAATAAAGGGTTGTAACAGTCCTGGAGAACAAGGGAACTTGAGTAATGGGAGTTTGTTGTTTACACGAATCAGTGTTGCAAGTTTGGTGTTAGACCCCCCCTAAGGGGAGGGAGTGACGCTTGGGGAGCCGGACTGCGAAATGCACCCTCCAGCCAACGTTCGCCCGCCACCAGGCAGTGGCATGAGCTGAATCCAGCACAGCCTCTGCTTCAGAGACCTCCCCTTGAGAATAGAGATGAGCAGACAGGTCCACACCCGGTCCCAGAGGAAGGAGTAAGCTGTTGCTTCAAGTGTTAAAAGGGGGCTTGGGGGTGCCACGGCATGGCAGGGGAAGCTGCCGCCTGTGCTGCTGACATCCCATACAGGCGCCAGTTTGTGTCCTGGCTGCTCCGCTTCTGATCCAGCTCTCGCTAATGGCCTGGGTAAAGCAGCAAAAGATGGCCCAGGTCCTTGGGTCCTGCCACCTATGTGGGAGACCTGGAAGAACCTCCTGGCTCCTGGCTTTGACCTGGCTGTGGTGGCCATCTGGGGAGTAAAACAGTGGGTGGAATCAATCAATCTCCCTCTCTCTCCCTCTCCTTCTCTGTAACTCTGGCTTTCAAATAAATAAATTTTAAAAAGAGAAAAAGCAAGGGGGACAGACAATTTGGAAATAGAGATGCTTGCCTCCTACGCTGGAGAACCTGGCTCTGGCTGCTGACTCCTGCTGTCTGGGAAGGCGCAATGCCGGCACTTGGGCTCCTGCCACCTACATGGGAAACCTGGGCTGAGTTCCCAGCTCCTGCCTTGGCCCTGCCCCTGCCATTTCAGGGCATCTGGAGACTGAAGCAGAGGATGAAGTGCCCCTGCCTCCCGGTTCTCTCTTCCTCTGTATTACTCTGTCTCTGAAGTAAAAAATAAATAAATAAAAAGGATGAGAGAGTGGATCTGAGTCCTGCTCACAACTCCATGCTCCTCATAGGGAAACTGTCTATCATAGCAGGGAGCCAGGGCAGGTGTTGGCACACACAGGGGCTCCACGGGCTGCTGGCCTGCTCCCTGTGTCTGTAAGTGATGATGCCAATGCCTGGCCCCAGCAGGTGCTTGTGAGTGGCAGGTGGTGTCAGTACCCAAGGGCAACAGCACCTCTGTGAACTGAGTGCCCAGGAGGGTACCTGTGGCCCTCAGTTGTTGACAAGGAACAAGAGGTTTGGTGCAGCAGCTGAAGCAGCCCACACCAGAGTGCCTGAGCCCGAGTTCTGCTGCACTGTTGATCCCAGCTTCCTGCGAATGTGCACCCCGGCAGGCGGCACGTAGCAGCTTACATGGTCGGATCCCTGCCACCCCATGAAAGACCCACATTGAGTTCTGGGCTCCTGGCTTCACCTGGCCCAGCCCTGGCTGCTGCCGGCATTTGGGGAGGACCATTGGCTGGGAGGTCTGCCTGTCTGCTTTCAAGACCCAGGTTCTGGCTGCTCTTGGACGCACACCTGTTGAAAGATCTGCAAGCACAGCCATCCAGAAGCAATCCCGGGATAACAAGAGTCCTTTCTCCTCCCCTGATCCCGCAGCTCTCATCCTCCGAGGGTGCTTGGCGACACTGCGTCTAGATGCCCCAACAGGCTCACTTTCGAGGCGCTTCTCCATGTCCTCACAAACCCAAGACGCTGGCTCTGCAGCAGCCCAGACCTTCGGAAGGCACTGTGGCACAAGGTCACCAAGTCTCTGTGGGTGGCCCCGTGGGTCCTCAGTCTGAGGCCACAGTGGGGGAAGGGTGCGTGTCGGAGGCCACCGGGTCAGAGCGTGCGGGTGGGGGGGGGCACCACGAGGACCTCTGGTGTCCTGGGAGAGGGAGCTGTTTTCATCTACCCGTGAGCTTCACGAGCAGAGCGCAGCCTCACATTTACACAGAGTGTGTTCATGACACTGCGTACCCTCCCCACGTCTAAAGCATCTGTTCCCTGTCACACGCTGGAGATGACAAGGAGCACAGGACAAAGGCCCCGCTGGCACAGACGGCCCAGCACCCTGTGAACGAGGTGAGACGTGACTTGACCCACCGGTGCAGAGGAGCGGCACAGTTCTGCTCTCTGAAGGGTGGGCTTCCAGGGCACAGGCGTTTGCATCCCTTGTGAGAGAGAACAGGCTGGGGCGGTCAGACACTTCCCTGAGGCAGAGGGAGGTGGGAACTGTGGTGAGCTGTCCCCTCATTTCAGTCAGAGTTACAGAGAGAGGAAGACAGAGCTCTTCCTTCTACTAGTTCCCTCCCCAGATGGCCTTGGTTGGGGCTGGGCCAGGCTGAAGCCAGGATCCTGCGATGCCACCCAGGTTTCTCACGTGAGTGGCAGGGGCCCAAGCACTTGGGTCATCCTCTGCTGTCTCCTAGGCACATCTGCAGGGAACAGGATTGGAAGTGGAGCAGCTGGGATTGAACCAGCACTGAGAGGGATGCCAGCATCACAGACAGCTTAACCCGCTGCACCACAAAGCCAGTCCCACCCCAGTGATTTTTTTTTTTTTTTTGACAGGCAGAGTGGACAGTGAGAGAGAGAGAGAGAGAGAGAGAGAGAAAGGTCTTCCTTTGCCGTTGGTTCACCCTCCAATGGTCGCCGCGGCCGGTGCACCGCACTGATCCGAAGGCAGGAGCCAGGTGCTTCTCCTGGTCTCCCATGGGGTGCAGGGCCCAAGCACTTGGGCCATCCTCCACTGCACTCCCTGGCCACAGCAGAGAGCTGGCCTGGAAGAGGGGCAACCGGGACAGAATCCGGTGTGCCGGCGCCGCGAGGCGGAGGATTAGCCTAGTGAGCCGCGGTGCTGGCTCCACCCCAGTGATTTTTCAAAATACTCAGTAGAGTTCTTTAAATACAACCTTATTGATCAAATCATAGCCAACAGAGAAGTACAAATAAAAACATACGACCACATCTCCACTAAAATGGCTAGAATTAAAAAAAAAAAAAGACATCTATTTGAAAGGCAGAGTTACAGAGAGAAATCTTCCATTCACTGGTTCACTCCCCAGATGACCACAATGGCCTAAGCTGAGCCAATCCAAAGCCAGGAGCCAGAAGCTTCTTCCAGGTCTCCCACACAAGTGCAGGGGCCCAAGCACTTGGACCATACTCCACTGCTTTCCCAGGCACAGCTGGATCAGAAGTGGAGCAGCTGGAACTTGAACCAGTGCCCATATGGGATGCTGGTGCCACTGGCAGCAGCTTAACTCGCTACACCGCAGTATCGGCCCCATGGCTAGAATATTTTTTAAAAATTTGTTTTATCTATTTGAAAGAGTGATAGAGGAAGAGACAGAGATCTTCCATCTGCTAGTTCACTCCCCAAGTGGCTGGGTCAGGCGAAGCCAGGAGCCAGGAACTCCATCCAGGTCTCCCCCGTGGGTGACAGGGACACAGCACTTGACTCGTCATCTTCTTGCTTCCCAAGCACATTAGCAGGGAGCTGGATCAGAACCAGAGCAACCAGGGCTTAAACTGGCACTCTGATATGGGATGCTGGCGTTGTAAACGGCAGCTGAACTCACTGAGCCATAACACTAGCCCCAGACAGAATTTTTTTTTTAATTTATTTATTTATTTGAAAGGCAATGTCACAGAGAGGCAGAGAGAGAGATCTTCCATCCGCTGCTGGTTCACTCTCCAGATGGCTGCATCGGCCAGAGCTGTGCTGATCCGAAGCCAGGATCCAGGAACTTCTTCCAGGTCTCCCACACAGGTGCAGGGGCCCAAGGACTTGGGTCATCTTCTACTGCTTTCCCAGGCCATAGCAGAGGACTGGATTGGAAGTCGAATAGTCAGGACCCGAACCGGTGCCCATATGGGATGCCGGCACTGCAGGTGGTGGCTTTTTTACCCACTACACCACAGCACCAGCCCCCAGAATTTTTTTTTTAAGTTAAAATACCAGGGCCAGGGGCCAGTGCCATGGCTCACTTGGTTAATCCTCCACCTGAAGCGCCAGCCGGGTTCTAGTCCCAGCTGCTCCTCTTCCTGTCCAGCTCTCTGCTGTGGCCCAGGAAGGCAGTGGAGGATGGCCCAAGTCCTTGGGCCCCTGCACCTGCATGGGAGACCAGGAAGAAGCACCTGATTCCTGGCTTCAGATCGGTGCAGTGCCAGCCGCAGTGGCCATTTGGGGAGTAAACCAGCAGAAGGAAGACCTTTCTCTCTGTCTCTCTGTCTATAACTCTGTCAAATAAATTTTATACACACACAAACACACACACCAGGACCAGCATCATGTAAAACCACCTCCTGTAATGCTGGCATCCCATATTGGCACTGGTTCGAGTCCCAGCTGCTTCACTTCCAATCCAGCTCCCTGCTGTGGCCTGGGAAAGCAGTGGAGGATGAGCCAAGTGCTTGGGCCCCTGTATCCACATGGGAGACCTGTATGAAGTTCTTAAATCCTGGCTCTTGACTTTGGCCTGATCCAGCCCTGGCTGATGTGGCCATCTGAGGAGTGAGGTGGAAGACCCCTCTCTCTGACTCTTCCAAATAAATAAAGCTTTTTTTTTTTTTTTTTTTAGAAAACAAAAATACCAAGATCTACACCCTCACACCATGCCTTTGGGAATGTAACCTGGCAAAAACACTTGGGAAGAGTTTGGCAGTTTCCTAAGAAGCAAAGCCCAGCAATCTCATGCCTAGCTATGCATCAAAGAGAACACAGAACACAAAGCAACCTGTGGTTCAATGTTTTTAGCAGCTTTATTCATAGCCGGCCAGACAGCCTGTAGAGGTGCATGGGTAAACAAACTGGGCATCCATACCATGGAAAGCCACTGAGCAATGTAAGAGTGACAGCTGAAGGGACGGTGCTGTGACGTAGCAGGTCACACCCCAGCCTGTGGCACTGGATTGCATCCCGGCTGCTCTACATCCAACCCAGCTCTTGGCTGTAGCCTGGGAAAGCAGTGGAAGGTGGCCCAAGTGCTTGGGCCCCTGCACCCACATGGGAGACCCGGAAGAAGCTCCTGGCTCCTGGCTTCAGATTAGCCCAGCTCCAGCTGTTGTGGCCATTTGGGGAGTGAACCAGCAGAAGGAAGACCTTTCTCTCTCTCTCTGCCTCTCTGTAACTCTGCCTTTCAAAAAAATTTTTTTAAAGTGATATGTTGAGACACACAATTGAGAAAGGTGCTGGAGAGAAACAGCTACACAAAGCATGACTCTGGAAATGGACAAAGAATTCTGGGTGGAGATGGATGCTGCACCATGTGACTGATGATGGTTAACACACAACTGTATTGTCAAAACCCATGGAATTTCACAGTAAAAAGAGTGAATTTTACTCTATTAAAATTGCATCTCAAAAAATAAATAAATAAATTGTATCTCAATTAACCTGATTCTTAAAACCCTTACCATGGGCAGGCACTTGGCATAGAGGTTAAGATGCCCCTTAGGATGCCCATGTCCCATGTTTGAGCGCCTGGGTCTGGACCCCAGCTCTGCCCAGAGTGCTCCTCCCTGCTCATGTGTTGGAGGGCAGCAGGTGATGGCCAGAGTAGGAGGGTCCACAGCACCCACGTGGCAGACCTGGATTGCATTCTGGGTCCTGGCTTCAGCCTGGCCCAGCCCAGGCTATCGTGAGCATTTGGAGAATGAACCAGCGCATGGAAGATCTCTGCCTGCTTGTCTCTGCCTTCACATAAAGACATAAATTGAAAATTTGAAAATCTCTTACCAGTAACTGAAAATACACAGAAGTGGAGCGACACAGCAGTGCCTGCTCTACTGGCCCGAAATTCCCTCCTCCGTGGACTGCAGAGATCCTCAGACCAAACCAACTTTCACTTCACAGGTGCAAGACTCAGGGCTCCAAGTGAGGGAGGGCTCCCCGCTGTGGCTGCTCTGGGGCGGTGACCCAGCCCGTCTTGAGGGAGGAGAAAAAGCCCGAAGCTGCCCAAAGGGCCCAGGTCCTCAGCGCCACCCTGGAAACAGATGTGGGACAGCTACAGGTCTGGGCATAGAAGGGGAGAGGTAAGAGGGGACGTGTCAGGTGGCAGCCTGAACTGGGTGGACCTTCCATGCCCGCTGTTCATCCTGGCAACTGGGACACAGCACCTGGGAGAGAACTCATGTGGCCTTTGCCACATGCTCATTCCCAAGTTTAACAGCATCAGCTGTAGCCAAGCTGCATCCTTTGCTCTGCTAGTTGTACTCAGACTCCTCATTCAACTTTTCAGGGATCTAATGTCATGTGACTCAGGCCATGGTGCCTGCTGGGTAACCCTGGCACTCTCTCAGAATCCTGTGGCAAAAACCACATCATTAAGAGTCCACTAAGCATCCTGTGCCAGGCACTGACCCTGGATCACCTAGTAACTATTGCCTGAATAAAGGAGCACCCCAGCTGGCCAGCAATGACCTCTGTCTGGTTGACGCAGGGAGCCTCTCCTCCCGCCTCTCATCCTGTTTCTGCCAAGGTCCCTGATAAACTGAACTCTGTGTAGTGCTCGACTTGTCTGCCGCCAGCAGCCAGTTCTCACATACAGGGATTTCCTGAAACAAACTCTGATTCTCTCATCCCACCCAACATAAAATGAACGAATGCAAAGTCATTTCCCACACTTCTCACATTAAAAATGTCTGTCTTGGAAAATCTTTCTGATGTGAATAAAATATCTTTCAGATCCATCGTCTGAAGGGGCTTTATCTCCAAGGTGAATCTGCTGATGCTGAGTAAGGGTTGAGGCCACACTGAGGCTGTGTCCACACTCTGGACGTGTACAGGGTTTCCTCCCAGAGTGGATTTTTTCATCTCCAGTGGGTGCTGGTGTGGAACTGAAGGTTTTTCCAAGCTCATTATTGCCAAACTGTTCCTTGCTGGTGTGAACTGTCCAGTGCAGAACAAGGCTTGCCCCATGGTTGCCAGCTCTGCCACACCGGCCCCCAGCAGGAACTCGTCTCTGAGGGGCAGGGCTGGAGCCATGAGCGCAGGTGGGCCCACACTGCCGGCACTTGCGTGGGGTCCCTCTGTGAACCCTCTGATGCTGCGTGAGGGTGGACCTCCGGCTGAAGGCCTTCCCACAGTCACCACAGCGGTAGGGTTTCTCTCCAGTGTGGATGCGCTGGTGCAAGGTGAGCTGGGAGCTCTGGCTGAAGGCTTTGCCACACTCAGCACACTGGTAGGGCTTCTCCCCAGTGTGCACCCTGCGGTGCTGAACGAGAGTGGAGCTCCGACTGAAGGCCCTACCACACTCAGTGCACACATAGGGCTTCTCTCCAGTGTGGATCCTCACGTGCTCAGTGAGGTGGGAGTTGAAGCCGAAGGCCCTGCCACACTCAGTGCACACATAGGGCTTCTCTCCAGTGTGCACCCTGTGATGGAGGAAAAGGCTTGAGCTCTGGCTGAAGGCCTTCCCACACTGACTGCATTTATGGGGCTTCTCGCCCGTGTGGATCCTCTGATGCTGAATCAGGCTGGAGCTTCGGCTGAAGGCTTTCCCACAGTGACTGCACTCATGGGGCTTCTCGCCTGTGTGGGTCCTCTGATGCTGAGTCAGCTGGGGGCTCTGGCTGAAGCCTTTCCCACACTCATTACACTTGTAAGGTTTCTTTCCTGTGTGGATGATACGATGCTGAATGAGAGAAGAGCTTCGACTGAAGGCTTTCCCACATTCATTACACCCAAAAGGTTTTTCTCCTGTGTGGATTCTCTGATGCAGCAGGAGGTGGGAATTAAGCCCAAAAGTCTTCCCACATTCGTCACATTTAAATGGTTTCTGTCCCGTGTGAACGTGATGGTGCAAGGTGAGGCTGGAGCTGTGGGTGAAGGCTCGACCACACTGACCACATGTGTAAGGCTTTTCCCCAGTGTGGCGCCTCTGATGTCTCCGCAGGTCTGAATTGTACTTGAAGGTCTTGCTGCATATATCACACTTAAAGGCTCTCTCTCCTAGTTTATTTCTTTGAAGTCTTACAGCATTTTGGCTCAAGTTCAAGTCTTTATCAACTGCAGCACACTCCTGCGTCCTTTCTCCTGGAGCTCTCCCCATACAAGTGCCAGACTTTCCTCTGAAAACTCTTTTGTGAAGATGAGGTTTCTTCACACTCCTCCCAGGACAATCTCCCAGCTTGCGGCCCCAAGCTTCCCGAAACTCACTGGTGCATGAATTAGCCCTTGAGAATCTTCTTGATATAAATTCTGGGTTTTCTACTTCTTCAGAGCATTGCTGGTTTAGCACTGACAGTTCCTTCTTAGTCCCAACCTCAGAATCTGTTACAAAAAACATAAATGAATTACTACCATCCACCAGGGATAATATTCACAGTGTGTCAAAGCTCCCATAAGTTATTATACAAAAGGCAGACGCTCCAAAAAAAAAAATGCGACAGGCAGAATTCAGAAGAAAAGAGCCAGTCAACCAGATAAAACATCTTCCAAGATTAAGGCAGGCATGTGCAGAGGTCAAGCCACACGTGTGATGCCTGGACCCCAGACCGGGCGCCTGTCGGAGTCCCAGCTCCTCTGCTTCTAGTTCAGCTTCCTGAGAACGCTCCTGGCAGGCGGCAGACGCAGCAGCAAGTGCTTCAGGGGAATGAACCAGCAAATGGAAGATCTTTCTCTGCCTTTTACGTGGATGAAAATAAACACTTAAAATATTCATTATCTAGTATCAAATAAATGGAAATTAAAACAAATTGTGATTTTCTTAGCTATTAAATTAGCAAATCAATCTGCACAACAAATATTTAGGAGCAGGCACAGTCAAGGTAAGGAACACGGCAGAGTGGTAGTCCTGAACTCACAGGGCTGATGTTCTGTTCTGGAAGGCGGAGAGTGAAGTAAGAAACATGTGAATGAGCAGGAGGAACCCCATGCCCTGGAAGCGATCAGGAGCTGCGTCACAGGCTCCAGTCCCGACTACAAGACCGGAGGAGTGCAGCAGGAGGTGAGCATGAGCTGGGGCTGAGGAGCAGTTGAGCAGTGGAGACACAAAGGCCTGCGTGAGACCCAGCAGACTCCAGCTCAAGAATTAGAGCTTTAGAATTATAACAGGGGAGAGGCGGGGCCTGGGGAGAGGACATGAGGGGCACAAAAGAGAAGGATTTTACGCTGAACAGAAAACAATGCATGGCTCTGATGACAACTACCACGCACCATCAGCAAGACTCTAAAGGCAAAACTGACACCAGGTACCAAAAGAATGAACACACCACACACTCTGTCTACAAAAGTACGTGCTGGGATTTTATCCCAAGTACACAGTTCATAGGCACAAAAAATAAATAAATAAAATAAAATAAATGACCACTCTGACAGCCATTGAGAGCTCTGTTTAATTGGGGGAAACAAGAAAGAACTCAAATGTCAAAAAAAAAAAAAAAAAAAACACACACACACACACATACACACAAGAAAAACAGAAGACTGTTTAAAACAATTACAGACTGCTTCTGTAATGGAATACCTTTCTGCCAACAGTTATATAATGGAAGAGTATATAAGCCAATGAAAAGTCTACTGTATGAGCTGAAGAATCAGGCTCCAAAATTAGATGTATACATAAACCAACTTTTATTGAAAAAATATATATATTTAGGATAGGTGTTATTTATTCCTTCAATGTTTGGTGTAAGTTGGTGAAGCCATCTGGGCTTAGCATTCCCTCTGAGGAAAGATGATTAAATTACCACATGCACTTCGACACTTAAGCACAATGCACTAACTTGTTCATATGTCAGTCTTGATAAATCATATTTCTCCACCTTACCTTCATGTTCACATTTTTTGGCATAAATGTGTTCAAAATATCTTTCTGGAATGGTCAATAGTACCTGCATCACTGTCTGCTTTCCTCATGCTTGTTACTTGTTCCTTCTCTTATTCTTTCTTTAAATGATTGATTTTATGTATTTGTCTGAAAGGCAGAGTGGTAGAAAAAGTGACAGGGGGAGGGCTAGCAGGGAACAGATCTCCCACCTGCTGGCTCACTCCTGACATGTTCTCAACAGCCAGGGCTGAGCTAGGCTAACCCAGGAGCCAGGAACTCCGCCTGGGTCTCCCATGGGATGGCAGCGACCCAAGTGCATGTCCATCGCGTGTGCTGTCTTCCATGATGCTGGATCAGGAGCAGGCACTCCCAGCTGGGATGTGAGTACCCTAAGCAGGAGTTACCAGCTGCACCACACGCCTGCCGCTTTACATTGTTAACTGAAGAAAGTGTGCTTGGGCCTCTGTGGTGGCGCCCATGCTGGAGCACCACTTCAAGTCCTGGCTGCTGTTTCCCATCCAGCTCCCTGGTAATGCTCCTGGGAAGGCAGTGGAGATGGCCAAAGTGCTTGGGCCTCTGCAACCCATGTGGGAGACCCAGATGGAGTTCTAGGGTCCTAGCTTTGGCCTGGCTGTTGTAGCTATTTGGGGAGTGAACCAGAGGATGGAAGATCTCTCTCTCTCCCTCTTCTCTGTCACACTGCCTTTCAAATAAGACAAGACAGAAAGACAGACAGACAGACAGAGGAAGGAAGGAGGGAGGGAGGGAAGGAGGGAAGGAGGAAAGAAGGAAGGCAGGCCTTTAAACATTTAAGATTAGGAAAGAGGGCCAGAGCTGTGGCGTAGCGGGTAAAGCCACAGCCTATGGCTGCTCCACTTCCAATGCAGGTCCCTGCTAATGCACCTGGGAAAGCAGCAGAAGATGGCCCAAGTTCTTGGGCCCTTGCACCCTCATGGGAAACCTGGAAGAAGTTCCTGGGTCCTGGCTTCAGATTGGCTCAGCTCTGGCAGCTGCAGAGTTTTGGGGAGTGAACCAGCATATGGAAGATGTCGGTGTCTCTCTCTCTCTCTCTCTCTCTGACTCTGCCTTTCAAATAAATAAATAATTAAAAAAAATCAGAAACAGTCCCTGTGAAACTGTAACATTTGTCACCACTGAAGATGGATTAAAAAAAAAAGATAGGAAAGAGAAGTATGAAGAAGCATAATCAGGACCATAAGACAAATGCCTGGTTTCCATGGAAACCCTCACAAAACTGCCCCTGACAGAAGAGTGAGTGGGAGCACCATGTGCTGCAGCAGAGCTCTCCGGGGGCACGAAAGTGTGGCCGTCCTCCCTGGGGTGTCTTCCCTGTGTGCTGAGGCTGTGCCGTCCTCCCTGGGGTGTCTTCCCTGTGTACTGAGGCTGTCCATCCTCCCTGGGGTGTCTTCCCTGTGTACTGAGGCTGTGCTGACCTCCCTGGGGTGTCTTCCCAGGTGTACTGAGGCTGTGCCGTCCTCTCTGGGGTGTCTTCCCTGTGTACTGAGGCTGTGCCGTCCTCCCTGGGGTGTCTTCCCTGTGTACTGAGGCTGTCCGTCCTCCCTGGGGTGTCTTCCCTGTGTACTGAGGCTGTCCGTCCTCCCTGGGGTGTCTTCCCTGTGTACTGAGGCTGTCCGTCCTCCCTGGGGTGTCTTCCCTGTGTACTGAGGCTGTGCCGTCCTCCCTGGGGTGTCCTCCCTGGGGTGTCTTCCCTGTGTACTGAGGCTGTGCTGACCTCTCTGGGGTGTCTTCCCTGTGTACTGAGGCTGTGCCGTCCTCCCTGGGGTGTCTTCCCTGTGTACTGAGGCTGTGCCATCCTCCCTGGGGTGTCCTCCCTGTGTACTGAGGCTGTCCGTCCTCCCTGGGGTGTCTTCCCTGTGTACTGAGGCTGTCCGTCCTCCCTGGGGTGTCTTCCCTGTGTACTGAGGCTGTCCGTCCTCCCTGGGGTGTCTTCCCTGTGTACTGAGGCTGTGCCGTCCTCCCTGGGGTGTCTTCCCTGTGTACTGAGGCTGTGCTGACCTCCCTGGGGTGTCTTCCCTGTGTACTGAGGCTGTGCTGACCTCCCTGGGGTGTCTTCCCAGGTGTGTTGCTGCTATAGCTGTGGCTGACGGTCTCAGAGCACTTCCTCATCAGCTGACTTTAGCACTCTGTGGTCTTCCAGAAACCAATAGAATGCCTTGAGCATTCAAAAAACTTGATGTCTTGACCTTTGCTCTTGTTTGACCCTGTTGATTGGACCGAGTCCATCTCTGAATAGCCACTTACTTGATTGTGCTTAGTCTTTAGGATTGTACTGGAAAACTACATGCTATGGTTTGAATATTTGGCCCCAAAACTCATGTGGAAGCTTAAACTTTGGGGCTGGTATTGTGCACAGCAGGGTAAGCTGCTATCTGTAATGCTGGCATCCAATATGAGCACAGGTTTGAATCCCAGCTGCTCCACTTCTGGTCCAGCTCTCTGCTAATATGCCTGGAGAAACAACACAAAATGGCTCAAGTGGGTAGGCCTCTTCCATTCATGTGGGACCCCTGACTGGAGTTCCAGGCTACTGGCTTTCAGCCTGGCCCAGCCCCAACTTTTGAGACCATTTTGGGAGTAACCAGCAGGTGAAAGATCTGTCTCTCCCGCTAATTCTTCCTTTCAAATAATTTTTTTTTTTAAAACAAGAAGCTTAAACTCCAAAGTCACAAATTGATGGTATTAGGAGGGTGACTGGCATTTGGAGGTGAGGCCTCTGGGAGGTGACCCGATCTGAACAGGTCAGCAAGTGGAGGCTTCGTGGCTGACCCTGCTGGTTTTATAAGGAGACAGATTTAGGCAGACTTGCACGCTCCACACCATACCGCTGGGTAGGAAGGTAGACATTAGCCTCTGTATGGAAGAGGACTGTAGAAAAGTAGGAAGTTCCTGTGTTTGCATGAGGGAAGAACCCATGAAGCCAGCAAAAGTCTTGCCAGTGTCCAGTATCCTTGTAGGGGATCCCAGCTCTGCTCTGGGGCCACTTCACAGGAATCTTCCCAACCACAAGATGGGCATGGGGTGGAGCAGGGATGGGGCTGAGGGTGCTATCTGGCCCAATGACACTGGGTTGAGCGCCACACCCAGAGAGCCTCCCACCCTGCAATGTTCCAGATGAACGGGGGTTGGGGACGAGGAATGGTGGGCCCATGCCCACCTCTGACTGTCCTGCGGGTCAGTTCTTTGTTGCGATGCCCTCCTGGCTGGCCAGGTGTGTTCTCGTCACTGAACACTGTGATCTTGCTTACTGCCAATCGTGCTCACGACTACAGTGTTTTTCTCATGGGCAGACCAGAGCCTCTGTTCCAGCCATCTCTGGTAACTGAGACTCTGCCAGAGAGAATGCTGGCACTGGAGGGTGAACGAATGGTGCCTGATCCGGAGCTGTGAGCCTCCAGAATGTGAGACAAAAAGTACCAATTTCCATGTAAAATTAGGCTGCCGCAGGCATTTTGTTATTGTGACAAAACCTGAGTAATACAGAAAACTGCTGAGGATGGGATTGCTACTATAACTACTCCTAGAAATGGAGAGGCGGGCCGGCACCGCGGCTCACTCGGCTAATCCTCCGCCTGTGGCACCAGCACCCCGGATTCTAGTCCCGGTTGGGGCGCCGGATTCTGTCCCGGCTGCTCCTCTTCCAGTCCAGCTCTCTGCTGTGACCTGGAAGGCAGTGGAGGATGGCCCAAGTGCTTGGGCCCTGCACCCACATGGGAGACCAGGAGGAAGCACCTGGTTCCTGGCTTCGGATAGGCACAGTGCGCCGGCCGGGAGAACCATTTGGGGAGTGAACCAACAGCAAAAGGAAGACCTTTCTCTCTCTCTCTCTCTCTCTCTCTCTCTCTCTCTCTCTCTCACTGTCTAACTCCGCCTGTCAAAAAAAGAAAAAGAAAAAGAAAAGAAATGGAGAGGCAACTTTGAAAATGACTAGTGGGCACATGTCGGGTGCTTGGAGGATCAGGCTAGGAAGATGGGGTCAACAGGGCATTCCCAGTGCTCAGGCAGGCAGGCAGAGATTGGGAACAAAGCTGGAGCCTGGACAGATGAGTGGTCATGACCAGGGCGCTCAGGCAGTTGCTGCTGGAAATGGGCTAATGACGCTCTTGTCGCAGTGTGAGGAGGAGCCTGGAGGAACAGTATGCACACCCTGGAGCCTGTGGGTGCTGAGTTTACAGGTGATGAGCTGAGACCATCCAGCAACAGAGCACTGACGCGGCTCCGTGGCTGCTTTAGCTGCACAGTGGGACCTGGGTGCAGAGGCATGTGGATCCTGCTCTTCATTCATAAAGATGCTAAACAAGTATCTAGCAGAGTGAGCATTAAACAGTCCTCCAACAGTGGCTGTCTTTCCCTTTCTCTGTATCCTCTTTGATTTCTTTCATCAAAATTTTATAATTTCCAGTGTAGAAACAGTTGATTGCTGCGGCTAGACTTACTCATATGTTATTTATTTAGTTATTTATTTACTCAATATTTTGTAACTACTGGAAATGGGATTGCTTCCTTGATTTTTTTCAGATAATTTGCTACTGGTATATAGCAATATTATTGATTGTTGCACACCAACTTTGTATCTTGCAACTTTGCTGAATTCATTTATTAGTTCTAACAATATTTTGGTGGTATCTTCGGAATTTTCTATATATAAGATTATGTCATGTGCAAAAAGTTACTATTTGACTTCTTTCTTCCCATTTGGGTGCCCATTATTTCTCTTCCAGAATTGCTCTAGATAAAACTCCAAGTACCACGTTGAATACAAGAGGGGAGAGTGGACATCCTTAATACTGAAAGCAATTTACAGGTTCAGAGCTATCTCTGTCAAACAGCACTGAAAATTGGGCAGCACTAAAAGATATCCCAAATAGCCAAAGGCATGTTGAACAAGAAGAACAGAGCGGGAACAATCGCACTGTTTGATTTAAAATATAGTTCAGGGTGGGCATCTGGTGCAGTGCTTCAGACGCTGCCTTGGACACTTGCGTCCCACGTCAGAGTGCCCGAGCCAAGTCTCAGCTGCTCTGCTTCCAATCCAGCTTCCTACTAATGTGCACCTGGGAGACAACAAGTGATGGCTCCCATATGGGAGACCTGGAATGAGTTCCTGGCTAATGGCTTTGGCCTGGCCAGACCCTGCTGTTGCAGGCATTTGGGGAGTAAACCCACAAATGCAAGATCTCTCTCCCTTTCAAACAGAAATGAAAATAAAAGTTTAGAAAAACTATAAGGCTATGATACTTCAAACAATGTAGTATTTTTTTTTTTTTGACAGGCAGAGTGGACAGTGAGAGAGACAGAGAGAAAGGTCTTCCTTTGCTGTTGGTTCACCCTCCAATGGCCGCCGCGGCTGGCGCGCTGCAGCGGCGCACCGCGCTGATCCGATGGCAGGAGCCAGGAGCCAGGTGCTTTTCCTGGTCTCCCATGGGGTGCAGGGCCCAAGCACTTGGGCCATCCTCCACTGCACTCCCTGGCCACGGCAGAGAGCTGGCCTGGAAGAGGGGCAACTGGGACAGAATCCGGCGCCCCGACTGGGACTAGAACCCGGTGTGCCGGCGCCGCTAGGCGGAGGATTAGCCTAGTGAGCCGCGGTGCCGGCCACAATGTAGTATTTTTATAATAGACATATGGAGCAATGGACTAGAACAGAGACCGTTTGTGTAAACCTACATATCTAATGTCAACTGATTTTTTGATAAAGGTGTGAAGAACATGCACTGGAAAAAGAACAGTCTTTTAAATACATGGTGCTGGGGAAACTGGGTATCACACTAATAGAACGAAACTAGACCCATATCTCTCACAATGCACAAGAATCAACTGAAAAGGGGTCACAGACCTAAATGTAAAGCCTGAAACTTTAAAACTAGTACAAGAAAACAGGAGATACTTCAGAACACTGGAATGGGTAAGGAATTTCTGGATCAAGTCTAAAAAATATAGCAAAGGCATAGACAAACATGATTATGTCAAACTAAAGAGCTTCCACACAACAAAGGAAACAGTAAAGAGATAACTACAGAACAGGAGAAAAATTAGCAAGTGACACATCTGACACATCTAACAAAGGATTAACAGCTGAACATATAAGAAACTCAAACAACTCAACAGAAGGAAGGAAGGAAGGGAAGGAGGGAGGAAGGGAGGGAGGGAGAGAGGGAGTGGGAGGGAGGAAGGGAGGGAGGGATGGGGAAGGAGGAAGGGAGGGGGGAGGGAGGGAAGGAGAGAGGAAGGGAGGGGGAGGGAGGGAGGGAGGGAGGGAGGGAGAGAGGAAAGGAGGGAGGGGGGAAGGTGGAAGGAAGGAAGGGGGTAGGAAGAAGGAAGGAAGGGAGGGAGGGGGAGGGAGGGAGGGAGGGGGGAAGAAAAAGGCCTAAATCATGCAATTTAAACATGGTCAGTAGATCTAAACAGATACTTCTCAAAGGAAGACATACAACCCACCAATGGGTATATGAAAAAATGGTCAAAATCACTACGCACCAGGGAAGCCAACCCACAAGGAGATACTGCCCCACAAAAGAGAACCGTGCTGGTGGAGATGCGGAGAAGCTGGTGGGAACGTAAGGACAGCCACTGTGAGACCCAGCAATTCCACTCATGGGCATCTGCAGAAGGGAAGCGAAATCTGTACTCACAACAGCCCAGCGATGGAAACACCCGACGTGTCCGTCTGTGGTGGAATGAGAAGGCCATGCCAAGATGGCCGCTGGCAACAGAGCCTGCCTGGCAACAGGCTGTGATTGGGTGGCTTCAGAAACCACATGGCAACGAAGCCTGCCTGGCAACAGGCTATGATTGGTTAGGTCATAAACCGCCCCTTGACCAGATTGGCTGCCTCAGCTATATAAGCTGCTGTACCAACTGAATAAACAAGTCTGCCCTGCTTTCACCCAACTCCCGGGGTCTATATGGTGACTCCGTGCCTCTTGCAGCCACCATGCTCCTCCTCTCAGAACGAATCCAACTCAACATCCACCAGTACTCACAACAGCCCAGCAATGGAAACACCCAACGTGTCCATCAGTACTCACAACAGCACAGCAATGGAAACACCCAGCATGTCCATCAGCTGATGCACACATGAAGTGAACATGCTACATATGCACAATGGGACACTTCCTACTCTGTCACTGGCTACGCAGGAATGGACTGGAAGTCACTATTAAGTAAATAAGCCAAGCACAGAAACAAATATCCCATGATGTCACTCGTATCTGAAACCTTCAAAAATTGACCTCATGGAAGTTGGGACTATAATGATGGTTGCCAGAGGCTGGGGAGGGAGGGGGAGAGCTGGATGCAAACAGGCTGATTGACAGACATGCTGGTGACCTGGCACACAGCAGTGTTACTATAGATAATGATAAATCATGTATATTTTTATTCAAAAAAAAAAAAAAAAACTGGAAGCAAGGACTTTGTGAAGGTTTTCACCAGAAAGAAATCTTAAATGTCTGAGATATATTTACCCTAATTAAACATTATACAGTGAATAATGTGTAATATATAGAAACAGCACAAAGTACATTTAAATGTACAATTTTTGTGTCTCAATTAAAATATATTAAATGCAAGAAAAATATAAAGAATAGAACTACACATCAGTCAGGTGAAAACCAGACTTAATGAGCAATGTGGACAGCAGCAAGATCAATTACAGGGCCGGCGCCGCGGCTCACTAGGCTAATCCTCCACCTGCGGCGCCAGCACCCTGGGTTCTAGTCCCAGTTGGGGCGCCGGATTGTGTCCTGGTTGTTCCTCTTCCTGTCCACCTCTCTGCTGTGGCCCAGGAAGGCAGTGGAGGATGGCCTGAGTGCTTGGGCCCTGCACCCGCATGGGAGACCAGGAGGAAACACCTGGCTCCTGGCTTTGGATCAGCGCAGCGCGCCAGCTGCAGCAGCCATTTGGGGGGGTGAACCAATGGCAAGGAAGACCTTTCTCTCTCTCACTGTCTAACTCTTCCTGTCAAAAAAACAAACAAAACATGCACCAGCCCTTCATCAAAACCAGGAATGAAGCAGGGGAGGAGGGGAGCATTTATTCACTGCAGTAGAGATGCTACCTGACATGGCGGCATCCCATATCAGAGTGCCTGGGTTCGAATCTCGGCTCCACTCACAATTCGAAGTATTTAGGTCCCTGACACCCAAGTGAGAGACCCAGATGGAGTTACTGGTTCTGGGTTTGGCCTCACCCAGACTCAGCTGCTGCAGGCATTTGGGAACCAGCAGATAAGAGATTGTTTTGTCTGTCTCTCAAGCTTTCAAATAAATAAAATTGTTCAAAAATAAAGAGGGGCTGGCATTATGGTGTAGATGGAAAAAGCCACCATCTTTGATGCCAGCAAACCATATGGGCACTGGTTCGAGCCCTAGCTGCTCCACTTCTGATTCAGTTCCAGGCTAACGTGCCTGAGAAAGCAGCAGAGGATGGCCAAGCACTTGGTCCCCTGCACCCACAAGGGAGACCTGGATGCAGTTCCAGGCTCGCAGTTTCAGTCTGGGCCAGCCCAAGGCGTTGTCACCACTTGAGAAGTGAACCAGTAGATGGAAGATCTCTGCATCACTCTGCCATTCAAATAAATCCATCAATTCTGGGGCAGTCATTGTGGCATAGTGGGTAAAGCCACCCCAAGCAACACCAGCATCCCACATGGGTGCCAGTCAGAGCCCCAGGTGTGCCACTTCTGATCCAACTCCCTGACAATATCCCTGGGAAAGCAGCAGAATATGGCCCAAGTCCTTGGGCCCCTGCACCCATGTGGGAGACCTGGATGAAGCTCCTGGCTCCTGGCTTCAGCCTGGCCCCGCCCTGGCCACTGAAACCATTTAGGGAGTGAGCTAGTGGATGGGAGATCTGTCTCTCCCTTTCGCTGTAATTCTGACTTCCAAATAGATAAATCTTTAAAAAAAAAAAAAAAGAAGAGTATTGCGATTGAAAAGTAGGAGAAATGCAAATCACTTTAAAATAATATGCTTTATTTTGTAAAGAGCACTTTTGGGTTCATGTATCAAGCAGGTGGTACCAAGATCCCCACAGGTACATAAGCTCTCCCAGAATTTGCTTCCTCCTGTGCGGCATGTGTTGCAGAGAATGAGGTAGTACTGACCATCCCCACCTGGTTCACATCGGAGTTCACTCTTGGCGTTGTGCATTCTCAGGACCTGGACACACGCTCTCCTGTGGCAACGCCCGGGTCAGTTCCCAGCCCAGATTCTCCATGCTGTGTCAGTGATCCCTCACTGCTCTCCTGGGTAGACACTGATCTTTTCCCTGTCTCCATAGCTTTGCCCTTTCCAGTGTCCTATAGTCCGAATCATAACGTATGCAGCTTGTCAGATTGGTTTCTTTTTCTTAGCAATGTGCTCTCAAGAGTTCTTTGTGTCTTTCTATGACTTGATAGCTCACTTTTAGCCCTGAATATCATTTCATTGTGTGGGTGACCAGTTTTATTCACCCATTCATCTACTGAAGGGCAAGTCAGTCGCTTCCAAGTTTGGGCAACTATGAAAAGGCCCTACAAACATCTGTACACAGGTTTTTGTGTGGACATAAAATAGCCAGAGTGCAACTGCTGAGTCATATTATACGAATTTGCCTAGTTTTGTAGGACACTGCTAAATGTTCAAAGTGGGTGCTTCCTTTTGCATTTCCACCAATGGTGAATGAGAGATCCTGCTGCTCCCCATCCTTGCCATCACTGGGTGCCATCACTGGGGTGGACATTGGCCATTCTAGCAGGTGTGTAGTGGGGCCAGTGCTGTGGCATAGGGTAAACCTCCACCTGCGGTGCCAGCATGCCATATGGGCACCAGTTCAAGTCCTGGCTGCTCCCCTTCTGATCCAGCTCTCCACTAATGGCCTGGGAAAGCAGAAGATGGCCCAACTGCTTGGGCCCCTGCATCCATGTGGGAGACCTGGACAAAGCTCTTGGATTCAGATACACCCAGCTCCAGCCATTGTGGCCATTTGGGAACTGAACCAGTGGATGAAAGACCTGTCTTTCCCTCTATCTGTGACTCTGTCGCTCAAATAAAACTTCTAAAATTTCTTTAAATTAAAAAAATAGAGGCCGGCGCCGCGGCTCAATAGGCTAATCCTCCGCCTAGCGGCGCCGGCACACCGGGTTCTAGTCCCGGTCGGGGCGCCGGATTCTGTCCCGGTTGCCCCTCTTCCAGGCCAGCCCTCTGCTGTGGCCAGGGAGTGCAGTGGAGGATGGCCCAGGTGCTTGGGCCCTGCACCCCATGGGAGACCAGGAGAAGCACCTGGCTCCTGGCTCCTGCCATCGCATCAGCACGGTGCGCTGGCCGCAGTGCGCCAGCCGCGGCGGCCATTGGAGGGTGAACCAACAGCAAAGGAAGACCTTTCTCTCTGTCTCTCTCACTGTCCACTCTATCAAAAAAAAAAAAAAAAAATAGAGGGGCTGGTGCTGCGGCGCAGTGGGTTAACACCCTGGCCTGAAGCGCCAGAACCCAATATTGGTGCCGGTTCTAGTCCCAGGTTCTCCTCTTCTAATCAAGCTCCCTGCTATGGCCTGGGAAAGCAGTGGAAGATGGCCCAAGTCCTTGGGCCCCTGCACCCGCATGGGAGACCTGGAAGAAGTTCCTGGCTCCTGGCTTTGGATGGGTGCAGCTCCAGCCGTTGCGGCCAACTGGGGAGTGAACCAGCAGATGGAAGACTCTTCTCTCTCTCTCCCTCTCCTCTCTGTGTAACTCTGACTTTCAAATAAACAAATAAATCTTAAAAAAAAAAATAGAAAGTTCATTGTTCTTTTACTCTGCAATTTCTTAGTGGCACACGGTGCACGTTTTCATATGCTTACCTGTCATCTACGTATCTTCTTCAGTCAGGTGTCCATTTAGGCCTTTCCACTATCTTCTAACCAGAGTGCTCATTTTCTTATTTTTGATTTTTTAAGAGTTTTTATGTTTTGGATAGCATTTATCAGATGTGCCCTTTGCAAGTATTTTCTCCCATTCTACAGACTATCTCCTCATTCTCTTGATGTTGCCTTTAGCGGAACAGAAACTTGTCAACTATTTCTTTCATGGATCATGCTTTTATATCTAAAAATTCATCATCAAATCCAAGGTCACTCAAACTTCCTGCTATGTTATCACCTAGGAGCTTTACAGGTTTGTGTTTTACATTTAGGTCTATGCTTCGCCATGCTACATTCAGAACTCTTAGCCACCAATGTCATCAGGAGATAGTGCCTTTGAGGGGTCTTGAGAGTCGGTCCTTGTGATGGAACTGCTGCACATCAGAGGTATCAGAAACCTTGTTGTTCTCCTCTCAGCCAAGTACAGAAGAAGGCAGCATCTGTAAGCCAGGAACAGGCACTCACCAGAAAATGACATGCTGGCATTATGACCTCAGTGTTCAGAGCTGTGAGAAAACAAGTTTCTGCTGTTTCAGCACCCAGTTTGCCATTTTGTTACAAAAGTAGACTATGTCACTGCAGACTAAGACACAATGAGTAAACTTTTCAAAGGGAGTCCAGATTATTTATTTTTGCATGTAGATGTCCAGCACCATTAGTTGAAAACTGTCCTTTCTCTAGGCAAATGCCTTTGCTCTCTTAGCAAACATCAGCTGATTACTG